ATAACCCTACATCTGGCATGCTTCATCTGTCATATGATGTCATTCAGTATGGTATAACATGGTGGCTCCCAGAGCAGTGGTGTGGCTTTCACACCAACTTAAATTATTTAAGCAAAAACGTTTTTGTAGTTTTAGAATGGGGTTAGTGATCAGGACACAAAGGAGTGATGCTTTACAATTGAGAATTAGTTACCTACATCTGTAAGTCTGTAGAAAATGATCAGAAATTTTATGTTTGACTAATACAGAAACAATATATCTATTCATTGAAGCATTTAATCCCTTTACAGACAATAAATTAACTGGTACAATTATCTTTATGATATATCAACACACACAAATACATGGCTAAGACACTCATATAATCACAACCACACAGCCATTATGAAAGAATATGCTAAGTTTGTTTTTAAATTAATTTGGAATTCACTAAAAGGTATTGACTTAAAATTGCTGACATTGCAGTTCTAATTAGTTAATAAAAAAGTTTTGAAGGTGAAACAATGCCATTACTGTTCATCTTTACTGGACATTACTGTTTCTCCAACTTCCCTAAAGGTTGGGGTGAATTTTTCTTTGGTTTGCAAGAGCTGTTAAGGTCATTTATTTTGCTGTATGTGAAAGTATAAAATACTCCCAACTGCACCAGTGGCCTAAGTGGTTATAGCATTCACCTGAGATGCAGAGGGTTGCTGGTTTGAACTCCAGCCAAATCATATCAAAGACTTGGACCCTCAGCATTTAGAGGTTAGTGCTAGGACTGGATGGCCAGGTGTCAGGATAATTGACTTGGTGTGACATGATGGTACATGTCTGCAGAATGATGCCACAGAGCTAGTCGACTTTAACTAACAAACTGCAGACATCATGGCATTATGACTGAAAATCTGTTAAAGCTATGTTAAAAATCCAAAAATTGCAGCTGAGTTGAACTTCCCAAAACCTGAAGTTCTGAAATTTAGTTTTGATCAGCTTTACACACTTCACAGATGGTTCATCCATTCCAAAATCACAGCCCTGTTTTGACATGCCTTCAAATATGCATCACTCCACTAGCTTTATCATTTCATCTATTGAATATTATTTTTTACTTGCATAATTTTATGTATAAAAATTATACACATAAAATGGGCTAGATAAAAACGTATTCAAAAATTCTAGCTGCTAACGACAATATATGCTGTAACATGTTAACATTCATGGATCATTTGGTAAATGAAACTTTCTCCAAGCTTCACCCCAGGGTATAAATCATATTTTTTATAAGTATAATCTGTTATTGGATATCACCCATTTTTCCAATAAAATAGTCTCAAAACAGGTCATCTGATTAGATGTAATTTTTCTACATAACAGACTTCTTCATGGATTAAGTATTTGGTTTCACAGAATGGGAAGTCTTTTATGGTAGTGGTCTTTCAAGATAAGTTTCATTGTACTGCAGATGAAGGCTACAAATTTTTGTGCTCATTTAGATATCCATAGTGACCATATCACAAAGTGTGAAGTCTCTTGCTTAGTTTTCCATCAGAAGAGTTTTGCATAAATTATACATAGTCTTGTGCTGTAATCTAGCAATGTTTTAATGGTAAATTATGTTTTAAAATCTACATTCAGTTATTTTGATTTCACTATTTTATGTGGCTACCAAACTTCATAACCTTGTGAACAATAATTTCTATTTGATGACAATTTGGTCTTCTTCAAAGATGCATGAAATTTGGTCCTGATGTAAATTTAAAAGTGAAAATTGTTACCCACTAAAATTAATAATTGTTCAGTATATATTTAAAATTGCACTGATTTGTTTAAAATCAGACCCTGTCTAATGCCTTCCCAGGTAATTGTTATGCATATTCATTTTTGTTTTTATATATTCATGCCATGCATCCACTGACCCCCACCACTGTTTCTATGGATGGGTATGGTGTTGCTGCTCAAGAGAGTTGTATCACTTCCAATCTTTATCTAATTTTATTTTTCACTCTGTAATATTTGAAGGTCGTAATAAATTAAATTAAAACAAAATTTTATATGTTTTTACATTAAGAAGCCATTGGTCAAATTTGTTTTCAATGTTTTCTAATCCAAATTCTCACCACATTTGACTTGGAATACTAGCCTTCATATTGGTATAGGCACAAAATTTCTAGTGGTTTTATTTTCATGAAAGGCAGCATATCACATCTTTATAGGATTAGAGTTCACAAGTGAGTTCACAAGTAGTCAGGTTCATGAGTTTGTTTACATGTAGTGTAGTTCACAAGTGAGTTAACAAGTTGTGTGGCCAAAATTTATATTTACTCCCCTTCACAGCCTGTTTACATAATTTCTAATGAAAACCCATGGAACAGTTTTTCTAAATGAGTTCAGTGCAAGTGTTGCTCAGATCTACATGTAAATGTGTTTTGTTTAGATTCAGTGAAAGATCAAGTTTTTAGACATACATTAAGGTGGCAGAGACATTTGAATGCCATATCAAATAAGTTCTTTCCACATCTCTGCAAAAACAGAGTTTTGTATTTATTACATATCCTGTCCTTAATACTTAATAGCATGTTTTATTGGTATCGCTTTGAAATGGAATTCAGAAACAGGGATTCATGAAAGTTGATGCAGTAACTTTTTTTTAAAAAAATTCTATTTTTCTGTTTGGGTGTGTATAATGGCTTGAACAATTTAATACCAGATCAGTCATGTAAAATTAGAAGTGTACCTTTTTTAATAAAACTTAGGAATGCCAAATTTTTAAATCTCACATTCATGCTTTGTTACTAATGAGAAAAGCATAATTATAAGTGATCTATGCAGCTATTCAAAATAAATATTTTCAGTATTTGGAGTTCTTTGTGTGTTATGTCCAATTATTACTGCTAATCAGTCTATCAACTTATGCATAAATCTACCTGTCTGTCAATCCTGTTTTACTGATTGTGTTATATCCAATTCTTGGTGCTAATTAGTTTATCTGTCCACTAAATCCAGGTCTTTTGTCAATTTGATTAAAATCAGATCTCCGCTGTTATACATTATGGTCTGATAGTAACCACTTAGGGGTCATGTTCTTGTAACCTATATTATTAACCATAAATGCTAATTTTATCAGCCAATCAAATAAAGTCTTATATCTTAATGTTTGGAGCTAAACAGTGTGAATGAAGAGCAACAATCTGTATAGAACAATTCGATTCACTTTCTGATTTTTTAAATCTGCATTTCCATTGGCTAATTCAATGGTCGCTGGAACATGACCCATAAGCGGTTGTCATCAGATCTTTGCATAGGATAGCATAGATCTGGTTTTAATTTGTGTCTACCTCTTTATTCCTGTCATTTGCCTCCATTTTCTCAATGATGTCGGGAGGGGATATGGTCTGCTTTACTCATTCAGTTTATAATACATTTGTAAACCTTTAAAACATGTTGAGATGTGGATGTATCTCGTGGAGAGAAACTCAACCAAAAAAAATGGATAGTTCACAGTTATACTCAGTATACTCAATGCAACCAAATTTTCATGCTGAAAGAACTTTTACATTTTTAGATATCAGTTTATTATTACTGTTAATATTGTAGACCCTAATACACATATCTACATTCCAAAAATGTGGTTATGTGCATGTCTTTCATTTACTGCACCCATTACACACCGGACCTTATTACCAACAACCATGAAATTGAGAGCAATTCGACAGAAACTAGGTCATGCATACCTATATTTTATACCCAAGTGACTTATTTATAGCCATCTGGTCATATTCTCTCACTATTTTGAATCCCATATCACACTTTTGAAAACTGGTTTTAGGAAACTTATCAAACTGTATGTGATATATGAGAAACCTATAGACAAACTAGGACATTGTGACCTAAATGTCATTGTACATTAAGCAATCCATTACAATCATACTGTCTGAGATTAAAATTAATTGACACAGACATTAAATTGGGTATGTGGATCAATCTCAATGCCAAAACTAGGTCACTATGTTTTATCTTTCATGCTTTAGTGACTTTATTTTGAAACCAATTGTTATCTTTAACCTCACTGTATCTAAACAAATATTGTTTACACCCAGTACTGATGAAATTTTGAATACTGATGCAACTTACAGGTTTCCATGTTTACTTACGGTTCATGTTAGCCAAAAGAAACCCCAAGTTATAAGTGATATAACCTTGTTGTGAGGAATGTTGGAAATATATATATATATATATATATATATATATATATATATATATATATATAAAAACTGACGACGAACAGTACGCAAAAAAGTAACTAACTAGCCTAAGCGCTTTCGACTCATAATGAGTCTTTTTCAAAGGCAAATACAAAACATATATACGATAAACAAATAAACACAAAAACGTGTTTGTAAACCTCTACATGGCTGTCTTCACATGTGCTAAAGCTATAAATACAACCAGCTTGTATAGACTAGATGCGGAAACTGTTTATTGCATCTATTTTAATTAATCCCTGACACACGTGATCCCTTGGTGGATCCAGTACACTTGAAAGGGTTGTTATTCGCCATATGATTTGTATTCTTTATATATATATATATATATATATATATATATATATATATATATATATATATATATATATATATATATATATATATATATATATATAAATGATATAGCTTTATATTGAGGGATGTTCAAATTATTTATAGATGACAGAACTTTTAACTGAGGGATATTCCAGCTATTTTTATAAATGATAGAAGCTTATAAGGGATGTTTCAACAATTTATCTGCCCCTTAGTGGTCTAAAGCACTCACCATTATGGATCACTGCCATCTCACTTCTGCTTGGGTTCGAGTCTCAGGCTTGGCTAATGTTGGTACATGAGAAAGCCTGCCAGTAGCTTCTTGTGGGTTGGTGATTATTCCATGGGTTCATCCTCCACCAGTTATACTGGCCACCATTTATAGCCTATCTTGTGCTGAAAATGGCAATAAACCCTAGAGCAACAACAACCATTTATAAATAGCCTAATGGTTAGAGCATCTGTCTCAAATGCGAGAGGTCACAGGTTTGATCCCTGGTAGAGTCATACCAAAGACTTACAAAATGGTACTAACAGCTGCCTTGATTGATGCTCAGCATTAAGAGGTTAGTGTTAGGACTTGCCGGCCTGGTGTCAATATAATGTGACTGGGTGGGACATCATGCTACATGTCTGCAGCATGATGCCCCAGTGCTAGACATCAATATAAACTGCCACACTGCAGATATTGTAGCGATATGACTGAAAATTTTTTTAAAGCTATGTTAAAAATCATAAACACATACAACTATTTATAAGTGATAGAACCTTATAGTGAAGGATGCTGCAAATATTTATAAGTGAGAGAAATTTATACCGAATGATTTTCCAGCTAGCATTTTACAGGTAATGGAGCTTTATACTCCAGATGTTTGATGCCATAGGTGTGATGATTACAGTGCCTTCTTCTGAATGAATGGTGTCCACATCTAAATATATCAATGTATCTGTATGAACAGTATGTATCAAAATGACCTCAATGCAAACCCCAACCTTTGAGAAACCAGCTGAAAAAAAGGTATGCAAAAATCAAAGAACTGTGAACTACTGGGGACAGTAACCGACTTTTTTAACTCATAAATGTAGTATTCATTATGACAGTTATATACAAAGCTTCATAGACAATAATGTCTTAAAAGAGCTAATTTTTAAACTGAAATCAAAATCACAGTGACCTACATTTTACTAAAATATGTATTCAAATTACCTTACATAAACACCAATTTATATCACTACATGTAGTAACAATTGGGCCTAAACTCAAAGCCTTAATCTGGTGTTGATACTAGATGGATTGAGGGACAAAGTCAACCCATTAGCTGGAATTGTTTTGTCATCAAGACTAAAATTGAGTTTGAACATGCTGAAGTCTGCCCTATCATAATAATAACAACTAATGTTTGTTGCATTATAGCTGCTATGGTGACTGCAGATATTTTTCATGATAACCATAGAATGTATTAGAAAAAAATAAATGAAGTAGACACAAGTAAAATTATCTCATATACACTGTTTTCCTCCATCAGGTAATGAAGATGAATAAATAGCCATAGTAAACGTTGATAGTTCTAAACACAATGTACTTACTAAACTTTACCACTAAGCTACTGGTCATCTGTTGGTAATATTTGATAAGTAGTTTTACTGGCTCTATTGCAATTTCCTTAGAGGTAGTGTTTGGCAAGTAGTTTTCATTTACCAGTGCTACTGCAATTTATATAGGGGTAGTGTTTGGCAAATAGTTTTCATTTACCAGTGCTACTGCAATTTATATAGGGGTAGTGTTTGGCAAGTAGTTTTCATTTACCAGTGCTACTGCAATTGATATAGGGGTAGTGTTTGGCAAATAGTTTTCATTTACCAGTGCTACTGCAATTTATATAGGGGTAGTGTTTGGCAAGTAGTTTTCATTTACCAGTGCTACTGCAATTTATATAGGGGTATTGTTTGATAAGTATTTTTCACTCACCATCTCTACTGCAATTTCTATAGAAGTAGCCTTTGATAAGTAGTTTTCATTTACCAGCTCTACTGCAATTTATATAGTGGTATTGTTTGATAAGTAGTTTTCATTCACCATCTCTTCTGCAATGTCTATAGAAGTAGCCTTTGATAAGTAGTTTTTTTCATTATCAGCTCTACTAAAATTTCTGTAGAAGTAGCCTTTGATAGGTAGTTTTCATTTACTAGCTCTACGCAATTTATATATGGGTAGTATTTGATAAGTAATTTTAGTTTACCAGTTTTAATGCAGTTTCTGTAGTGGTAGTCTCTGTTAAGTAGTTTTCATTTAAATGCTCTATAATTGCAATTTCTATAGGTAGGTTCCCTGTGTTAGATAAGTAGTTTTAATTCACCAGTGTAATTTGTATAGGGTAATGACATAACATAGCAGCTGGGGAACATAAATGCAGATTATGTTATATACCCAACACAATTATAGCAACACTAGTTGATGAATGCATGTATTAGCAGAAAAGGATAAACAAAATGCCAGTCAAATGTTCAGTAATAACTTTTATGCCTACCAATTTATATAGTAAGATTACGAGATATCTATACTTGATGAAAATAAATCACTGCTGTAAAAGAATTTTTAATATGATCTGGACGATCCAAGTTTCTGAAATTTAATGGAATTTTCAAATCTGTCCATGTGAATGTTTTTTTTATTTGTAGTGTCAGTAATAATCAGCATTAAATGAAAAATATCTGAAGCTATGATGCGACCATGTTATTGCTGGCTTCCCATACACAATCTTACTGATGTCCATAATTAAATCCTTGATACTTACAAGAAGTGTCCATTGTAGGAACTGACACTGTGTTTAAATAAGTTAGAAAAATAAAAAATAAGACCATTTTTTTTTTCTTTTAATTGGTGAGCGAATTAACCATCTCTAATGTTCTACAGTGATAACAGGATGTTCAAATTTGCTGCTATGGAACATATTGGGTGTCTGCATGGCATCATTTTCATTCATGGCAAAGCAGACATCATTTTAAGTGCTTTGGGTGAAAACTTCATGTCATAATGATCATCCATTCAGTTGGAGCAGTGGCAAGATCTTTTGCTATCATCATGGCATTTAGGACATGGTGAAAACCAGTCATCAAGACATGGTGAAAATCAGTCATCAAGACATGGTGAAAACCAGTCATCAAGACTTGGTGAAAACCAGTCATCAAGACTTGGTGAAAACCAGTCATCAAGACATGGTGAAAACCAGTCATCAAGACTTGGTGAAAACCAGTCATCAAGACATGGTGAAAACCAGTCATCAAGACTTGGTGAAAACCAGTCATCAAGACATGGTGAAAACCAGTCATCAAGACTTGGTGAAAACCAGTCATCAAGACTTGGTGAAAACCAGTCATCAAGACATGGTGAAAACCAGTCATCAAGACTTGGTGAAAACCAGTCATCAAGACTTGGTGAAAACCAGTCATCAAGACTTGGTGAAAAACCAGTCATCAAGACTTGGTGAAAACCAGTCATCAAGACTTGGTGAAAACCAGTCATCAAGACTTGGTGAAAACCAGTCATCATGGCATTTGAATATTGTCAATTATGCCTTTCTGATAGTTACCTAAAAGTCATCATCAGTTGGTACAAATGGATTTTTCATGGTAAACATACAAGATGGGGAATTCTTGAGCAATCCTGCATCACATGCTGCCAAAAAGTTTACATTTTAGTTCACTTATAGTTTCTCTAGCAATATCCATTGTTCCAACCAGAACTGTTATAACTTATTCAAGCTATATTCACCAATATCTGGAGATGTGCATCTGAAATAAATATTTGTAACAAAAGTATGAGAATTTTTCAGTGTTTTTCATTGATGCATTTGAACTGAGCCACAACTAGAATCAACAAACCAAAAAATGAAATTATTCACATTTCTCAGGCAGAAGTATAGTTTATAACCATAATCTGACAAAGTAATTTTCAATCTTTAAATTTGCCAGATTTTTTTCCAATCATACTGATTCAGTGGACATAATCACCAGAATGGACAGAAAGGGACTGAAACTGATATAACCAGGTTAAAATCAATTTGAGTAGCAAAATTCACATGGTTTAGTTAACTGTACACCCTTTAGTGTCTTCAATTTGATGTAATTTCTTACTGCAGCTGAGAAAATAATGTTGTACACATCAAAAAAGAGGCACACTTATGCTTATTACTATTGTTATTATACTTCATTTCAGCCTGTTCTTATGATCTTGTCCCCCCACATACTGTTTGTCTTGTTTATGATATGTATCTAAATTTGTCACTTACTTTTCACACTACTATACTGTTTATGAATATGAATATCTGTGAAATGCAATGGGGAGACTAAATCCAAGATAGAAAACCTCTACAGTCCTGGATGTATTCTGCTTGGATTCCATGTTGCTGCACAAAACTCAAAATTCAAGACTCGCTGTACTAATTCAGTTTCCATTGTAAACCAGTACAAACACCATGGTATTAAAATTCAATAAATTAAAATTTTGAGAGCTCATAATCACATTTGTATCAGTATAGACACATCTATGAAGACAGCTCTTGTGAAAAAAAACCCATAACAGATGTTCCATTTTCTGGATTGATACAAATTTCAAATGTGTGCTTTCAATACTACACAGAAAAGTCAGCTGCTATCAGCAATGAGTCTTCCAAACTTGGGTCTGTAAAGTGACAAAAATTATGTTAATAAAACAATGTCCCTGACTTTTATCAATTACATGTAGGACAAGCTCTCAAAAGATTCTTTTCATTTTAATCTTTCTTTCATTATCAACCAATCAGGGACAGGCAAACCATGTATATGTATACTCTATTTTATTGTCACTGATTTGTAGTATGGTTCTTGTTCTATCATATCTGTAGTAATGCTAGTCCTTCAACAACTCTCAATGGTTGTGTGCCTTTTACGACCATTCTGACTGGACACACTCTAAGATAATGTTAAAGTAATAGAATAATAATAATAGAGACCAATAAATCAAATAAAATGGTCAAGTTATCTACTCTGCATGGATGCGGCCAGGATTTCTGGATATAATGAAAATTTTGAGTTTGTGTGTGATCTACAATGAGGAAGTGGTGACGGAAGAAATAGCCATAGTTAAATACCCACCTAACACTTAAATATCTGTCACTCTTTCTTATAGTATAGTGATTATTACTGTGATGTCATTGGGCATGGTCACATGGTTGTGGTGGGGTCATGGTATGGCAGAAGACCATAGGCTTACAGTACTCCACATTTGACAGCTAATTAATATGTTGTCAAAAGAATTAAAATTTTTCTAACAATTCAGTTGGGTTGGATTATATAACTGAATCTTAGTCAATGAAGAGGCTCTAAAATTGATGTGTTTATTTTGGAGCCATGTTCCTCCATCACATTCAAGAGTTGAATAGACCAAAGGTGAAATTTATTTAATTTAATGTGAGACCTAATGCCAGAACTCATAGATTTTGTGATTTTGCGGTTAAAAAATAAATTTC